CATACTTTTCCCTATGCTCTTTTGACCATGAGAGAACACAGACCCTGCTTAGACAAATTTCTTAAAGCCACAGCTCACGCCCAAAACACCCAAATTCCCACAGGCTGTGGGGTCAGCATTGTCAGATGCAACACAAGATCACCCCAACATCACAGCAGCTGTATGATAACATGCACGTCTAAAATCAAGATGTCAGTTTTACATTTGAATACTTAAACAGGTCTCACTCTCGTAACACAGAATATACAAGAGCGAAAACTTTTTTGCTAATTGCTAGCTCCAGAGAGCCACTGGTTATCTTTTAGAGAAGTTAACTCAGGAAGTTTAAGAAACTGAATGCAATCTAACATGCCCAAAGAACTTCATATCCCCTTTGGAAGCACAGTTAGCATTTCTACCCATGCTCCCTAAGAGAACCAACACTACTGGGATCTTGCTTTTGTCATTTCCCCCTGAAAAAGGACATAAATCAAAATGTTATTAGGGGAACCTTAGTAAAATTCCCTAATCTTTTCTGGGTCAAACTTCATTTAATTAAACTATTTCACCTCCATTCTTAAGATCAGTGTTATTATTATAAATAACCCTTGCTATTATATTAATAGTAATGACCAAAGAAGTCACACCATGCAAAAAGCATTTGGTTTAGGAAGAGCTTTTGAGCACGAAGAAGTGCAATCAAAGAAATGCAGGGCCATTCAAGAGACAACGTAAAGAATAGACATCTCTTTAATAATGCTTAAACTGTCTACTCCAGATCACAATGCTGGTCTTGTTCTTGCTTGGCTGACCATATGGAAATTAAGCTTTTCCCCTGTTCCTCACCGCTGTTTTCCTAACATTGCCTTCTGAGGCATTTAATTACACCCTGTCATAAAGCTGGGTGCTCAGTCCGACAGGAACAAGGATCACCTAAGCGCTATTGTGATCACCGGTGCACTTGTATAGGCAATGGAGGTGGAAACCTCTACACTTTGGAAAGAGAAGAAAATGCATTTCATCACTCACAACACAATGCCTCTCTTAAGCCTAAACAATTGCAAATGTACAGACTCTCGGACATTGCCATAACCACAATAAGGCCATTCATGTAGACTTTGCTGAGGCAAGTTAGGGCAAAAGGGTCAGAGGGCTATGAACTTTGATCTATGGTTTCAGACTTGGCAGGCCTTAAAAAACCTCCTGCTTCAGTAAGTTTCTTGATTAACCTAATAAGAATTACACAAGAAGTGCTGTGATCTTAGCACTGCATCGGATTAGCTGCCTAGACGGTGTTCTGTGAAGCCTAAAAATCTCATCAAGAAGCATAATGAGAAATAGACGATGGAAATGCTGAGAAAAAGGTCTCGAGTTTGTGTTTTAATTATGCGGGCAAGGATTTGGAATGAAAGGTACCTGAGAGCTGCATCTTCTGAAGAATAAGGGGACTATTTGTCTGTGGAAACAGACTTTTTACCTCTGAGGAAAATACAATTAATAAATGAAAAGCTCAGAAGTGTTTTCAAGATGAACTTTTGATAATTCAGAAACACTTTTGCTTTTGTCACTTCCACACAATATAATCTAATAGTGATATTCATATTTATAAGTTCCACAAATTAGTTCAGTGAAAAAATGCCATTATAAGCATTAAGAATTTCCACAGCTACCTTATTAAAACCTTGTCAAAGAATTAAAAAAAAAGTCTTTATTGTTACAAAGGCAAAGGCTTATGGATCAATTCCAGAATTGGGTCATCAGTATGTTAAGAATTTTGTCTATTCAATTAACTCTCAGTGTGTTAGACCATTTTACATTATATTATGATTTAACTTATTAATCAGCTACAACTCATCCTTGAATTGTCAGGATTATTCTTTTACCAGGGATTTGTTTTGAAAGACTTCATTGATAACATAAATGGAAATCTGAGTAACCACAGCAAACCTGCTCTTCAGAAACAGCTATTTCATTAAAAGAATTAGATTTTACTCTAATCAGAAAGTTCGTTCTCCAGCATGTTTAGCTCCTTGCTATAACACATTTTTTAGTCTACAGATATCTCAAGTGATCAAATCCTGGTTCACAGCTCCTTGCACTGCACACAGGTGGAAGAAAAGAAGCTGGCTAATACAGAATAGATGTGTCTGCTGGTTTCTGATCAAGCACAAGGAAAGGCAACCAGATCCATACCTTTAAATGGGAGAAGGAGAAGCTATGTGATTGAATTAAGACAAACCCTCTATGCTTTTTTTTTTTTTTTTTATATAAAATACTTCTGGTCCCATTCACAAGGTGCCAAGTCCCCCTATCTTGCACTATCTAGCATCAGGCCCCGAGCTTTCCATAGTCACTCAAAACAATGCACTTTGAACATGTAGAAATAATGGCATCTTTTAGCATCACACAGCTCCATGGACAGTTGTTCACAAGGACACGAAGCAATCCTACAAAAGTTATGATGAGCTATAAACTGACTGTAGAGCAGTGCTAGGCAGCTGCATTCATCATTATGCTAATACGTAGCCACAAGTTTTGATATATCTTTAGCATCTTGCACTGTATGCTCACACATCAACAGCAAAATGTTCCCCAGGAAACATTCCAAAATTGTTTCTTTGAAAAGTAAAGTTCATCTGTGGGTCAATGGGGTAATTATGGCAGAATGAGTCTGCCTAGCTCCAACAACAGTTTCACATTTCAACAGCACTCCTTCCCATGATCCCAAACTACTAATTTCTCCTATTCTGTAGGGCTCTTCTCTTATGAAAACAATAACAATAAAAGAAAGCTAATCACTCCTATCAATTAGGAATCATCTCATAGAGCTGGATTATACTCTGAAATTAGAAAAGAAAAGCATTTTACGTCTGTATTGTGCTTGCTCACATTCATATTTGTATTGCTGAAGTGTCTAACAGCCCCTGTATCACTGATCAACTGTGAAGCATGTTGCAAAAATATACAACTAAAAAGTGCATTTTCCAGAAAGCTTATAATTCCCCACCATCACCAAGTTTTCTGTAGAAGAATTTGAAAGAGCGTGATATGGTATCTTGTCTATATATCAAGGAGCCAAGAGAACCAAAAGGAAAACTCTTCCAAGAAGCTTTTAAGTTAAAATGAAACCTGGTGCCAAGTCAAAAGCAGCATGTTGAATCAAGTTGTTGAACTTGCTAGGAAGCCATTTACATATACAAGCCACACTAATTGCAAGATAATAAATTTGTTTATCTTCAATTAACCAAACCTCACAGCATAAGCTTACATGTCATTTGTGCCGTCTTGCACACACTTTTTTATTACTGTTACAAGAACATTTTTCCAATCAAGCACGTTAACAGCAAAATTAAAACGTAACATGAGTAAACGATCCCTTATAGTCAGTAGAGAAAAAAAGCAGTGGAAGAAGGCAAGCACTAGTGGTAAATGAAATGTCAACACACTGAAACAGAAGGTAGTGACCAGTACAAACAGCTACGGACACAGGAAGGGAGCAACGGCCCTGCCTGTTGCAAGTGACTGGGGAATACGGTCAAAGAACAGGGTCAAAGACAGAGTAGAGCTCTGGATCAATTCTGTAACAGAACTGCAACAATCACAAAGCAGCTTTAAAATTAAAAAAATAAATAAATAAATAAAATAAAAATCACCACTGTGGTATCAGGAAGCCCACACACTCACAGCTCAAAGTCCTGCTAGACTTTGTCCTTGAGCTCACCCTGACATGGATGCTGCCCACCAGAACCCCTCAGGCTCAGCACTGAGGTTGGCCATGGGCAGAACAGCTCATAGCTGCTGCACCCAACCATGTGGAAAGGCCCCTGTAGTGCTCAGTCATGAGTTCTCCCTAGGTAGCAGCAGTTTTTCACTACCAGAGCTGATTTCTTTGACCCCCAGAAGATAGGACCACATGCATTAACAGTAAATAGCAAGGGTTTGATCATTACTTACCACCCAGATGTATTTGCCTTCTTGTTTTTAAGGTACATATTTTAGTTCATGGGCAAGTCTGAGCAATTCTAAATAATTGCTGAGTTTTAAACATCATTTGGGCACTCAGAGTTCTTCCCAATCCCTCATCTCAACCTCAAAAAAAAAAAAAAAAAAAAAAAAAGCAACATTCTGTGCATTTAAGTGGTCCAAATTAACCTGGAAAGCAAGTTTGCAGGCTGTTGTTTGGCTGAACTACTTCATCTGTCAGTTCAGCATGACTACACTTTTTCAGCATCAGACCTTTAAGGTTTTTAATGCCATATATATACATACATGTATATATTATAATCAACTAGTTACGAGAAACTACAGCAAAAACTAAACAGCATGGTGCTGTGAAAGGTGCATGTTCACTGCTGAGGCTATGGTATGGGCTCCCAGACATGCCTGTATTCACCAAGGCTCCCCAGGCTGGCCATCACCAGAAGCCTGGGCTGGACCTGGAATCAGCACAACTGCAGGCATGCAGTGCCAAGGCTGAGCAGAGCCTCACCGAGAGGACAAAGTCCTGGCAACACAGCTGAGCAGCATCCACACACAAACCACATACGTGTTACACTGTTCCCAAGTGCCAGGTTTAGGTAGGCAGAACTTGTAGGGAAGAGTGGCCTTGGTAGCATCCTCCATATATAAGTTGACTTTAAGGTAGCTTAGATATTTTTAGTAAAACTAAAGAAAAGAACCCAGTGAGGTTTGCAAACCATGATGCTAATATAGTAGTACTGCTTAACAGTACACTTACTGCCCAACGGTACCTTTGATACTTGGGCCCGCTTATTAGATGTAAAAACAAGTAAATGTCTGATGCTCAAGGGTTCTTTGGTTATCAATGAAGATAAAAATAAATCCGGATGAAAATGCATCTGAAAACAGTTTGTCTTACAAAACAAGTACACAGCAAGTGATACAGCTTTCATATACCTTTTGAAATTCAAATCCTCCTTCTTGAAGGATATCTCCATGCTATCACCTACCTGGAAATATTTGCTTACATCCTCTACCACGCAGCAGTGAAAATTACTCACCAAGGTTTAATGTTATTTAGCTGCAGAACCGTCGCAAATGCCTTCAGTGAAAATACCGTGAAGATCTTAAACTAGAAATGCAGTACACAATCCTTCTCTTCTGTCTTACTGCAGGTATGAAAGAAACATCCATTTAGAAAAAGGTGAAGCCTATATTCACTGTTTTTGCTCTACATCTAGATTTATAACTACTGAACTGTTGACTAAACTGCTTTTGCTTCCTCTTTCACTAAACACTTCAGCCTATTACAGTGCCTCCATAGAAGTGACACACTGCCAAGCAAAGTAAATGTCTCCTAAATCAAGATTAATCTTCAAATAAGTGAGCACAGGGATCAAGCGTGTGTATAGTATCTCAGTGTCCTTAGGAGAGCAGTTCACATGCATTTTGCACATTGGGCATTTGCTGTGGTCTGTACCACATCCAATGCAGATGCATTGGTCATGAAATGTATGTTGTGCCTGTTTACCTAGAAATGCTGCAAGACAGGGACTTTGCGAGGATTAAAGTCATCTAGCTTCTGAGGACCTGCATGATGTAACAAGACTTGGATTTGTTGCGATACCACTAAAGCTTTGCACAGGCTGCTTAGAAATGCTACTAAATAAAAATGGCTCTCAGTTTTGTCATGAGAAATGCAGCTCCCAAATAGAAAAACATGCATTTATCTACAACTTAGTTTATCTGAAAATATTATTCTGCTGAAAAAGAGTATTTATGTCATTTACACATACTGCATAATTCCATTTTCAGCCACATCGGTTCCCTACTGTACTCATAATTATCTCAACCTGTTGAGATATGGTTTTTAAATAGCTCAAACCTAAGCTACAAACAAGATGCAATAGATCATACAGACTAGCAAGCAACTTAAGGATGCAATAAGACAAGCTATCAGCAACCAAATCAGTGTCCAATTTTTGCCAGTATCCAAGCAAAGGATGGTTCCCATTGGAAATTTCCACCTTAATGCATGAATATTCTTGCCCATGTCCATCTTTAACGTTAATGTTTAATTTTATACATATAAAAAATCAAAACACATTTATTATGATTATCAAAATATATATATATTTTTAAGACAAAGCAGAGAAAATATCTCAGTAGAAGTGCATAGGGATGGCTTAAACCAACTTTCTTTTTTGCTTGATTTATATCAAGGCATCCAAAGAGGTAACCTAGTTCTGTGCTGGTCAGAGAGGCTTTCTAGCACTTGGATTAAAAAAAAAAAAAAAAAAAAAAAAAAAAAAAAAAAAAAAAAAAAAAAAGTTTAAACACAAAAGCTTTAGTTTGATTTTGTTTGATTTTCCTTGGTGTTAACAGGTGAGATAAAACATAATTCACAAATGCAAAAAGATCAAGTGTGGAGGAAGATCGATATGAAAAGAATTAGTGCATAAGTTTTCAGATAGATGTGCCAGCATGTTGCTTGGATTTATAATTATAAAGCAATTATTACTTAGCTCAATAATAAATTATTAGCTGCCATGGCAACTACTGAAATACGAGGCAAGCTATTAAAGACAACAAGATGGTCTGCAGGAGACAAAGGAAGAAGGCAATTTATTCACTGGGCAGACTGTGCTCTACTTCTTATACTACTGCACTCCACTTCCAGGATTGCTAAATTAAGAATTGCAAAATGCCTAGGCCCACACATACAGCCAATTGTCAGGGTTTGGGGGCTTTTTTCCTTCCAATAAAATAATTTAGAGTCAGATTCTTTTTTTTTTTTTTTTTTTTTTCCTCTGGTGTACTAGGGATATCCCACATCCCTTTTTTTACCTAAACAATTGCATGGAACATTGATTAGCAGTTATCTCTGAGAACTTGTAGGAGACAGGCAAGGCCACTGAAAAGCAGAGAAATAAAGAGTTAATGCGTAGTATCAAAAAAAGATAAATTGAGGAGAAGAAAATTATAGGCTAGGCAGCTTAACTGCAGTTTCCTGGAAAAATTCTGGAACAAACAAACCATTTGTAACCACCTGGAATACAACAAGGAGATTATGAGCAGCCAACATGGATTTGTCCAAAGCAAATTACATCAAAACCAGTCTAATTTCTTTCTAAAACAAAATAAAAATCTCTGACTTAAGGCATCTAATGCTGCCATCATGTCCTCCTATGCAAACCAGGGAAGTTTACTCTTTCAAATACCTGTATAACAGAAGCAAAATTATGGCTGCAACTTAGTGACCCACACATTATCAAAGAGGCGAGATTATGACAAAAGGTTGCACAAACACCATCTAGATGTCATTCCCCTCAAAATCATCACTGATGATTTGCTGATGGAAGAATGCTCTATTAAATGCAAATATCACAAAGTGGAGCAAGAATGCCAAAACTTTGGAAGATGGATTAAAATTCAGAATCTATGCAGGGGATCTCCAAGATGAACATTAGTCAGTTATGCTATTCTGCAGGTTTTCCTCAAAACAAACAAACAAAAAAAAAATATGGAGCATAAACAGACTTCAAGACACAAAAGTACATAAAGTGGGGGTTTAGGGCTCCCTCTGCCCTCCCCTCCCCTTTTCTCTGTCTGTTTTTTGTTTGTTTTGTTGTTTTTTGTGACAATAGACCCAAACCATGTACAGGGAACATTATTAGAATAATCAAGTGCTGGAAAATGTGATCTATGAAAACAGATTAAAAGAAGTAGGTTAAATTTAGACTTTAGGAAAAGTCTTTCTAAATTAAGGACAGCGAAGCATGGGAATGACTTGTCTAGGGAAGCTCCAGAGAACCTTTCCTGGAGGTCTTTCAGAGCAGATTTAGAGACATTAATTAGGAATGTCATAGGTGTAGCTGACATCATTTTCCACCAAGGAGACATAACAGGTAACTCCTGCAGGTCTCCTGGGGTCTTTCTGGGGGGAGTGAATGTACAATTTTATTTATTTATTTTTTTTTTACCCCTCTTCTAATCTCATCTGGATAAATTGTAAGGAATTTGTCTGGGCTTTCCAGACATGAGGTAGCCTTTTCCTGGCAAAAACCCTAGACTGACTACAGACATGTTATACCCTCACAGGGCACATATGCAATATATCGAATGTTTCTGCCAAGGACTGTTCTATATCCAGAAATCAACAGCACATGTGTAATAATCCAACACTTTTGGGAAGAATCAGACTTTATTGAATAGGCACTAGAACAACAGTGCAACAATCAGGAGAACTGGCATAAAATTACTTGAGTCCCAGAAATCCTACTCCTTGAATAAAACAGGAATGAAACCATCTGAAGAAAGTTCTTTGTTCTCATCTCTAGGCATCACTCTACCAAAGAAGTACACTCTCAGCTGTGTGTTTACTTACAGTTGATTCCTTTTCTGAAACCAGAAATTCCACCAACCTATGCCCCTGCTCTTCTGTTTAATGATTCTGTCTCCAAAATAAATCCCTCCATCACACAACTGAACTCGAACACTTAGTTATTATCATTCATAATGGGGGGACAGGCAATTTATTTTTCCAGTTTATCTTAAACAAGGCAGAAGGGTTATATTCTCCAGTCTCAGAAATATTTCTATCAGAAAAAACAGGATTTTCTCTAATGCCCACATAATTTGCAAAAGCAATGATCTGCACCACAAAAAGCTATATGGGAAACTATCATAAAAAAAAAAATAAGGAACATTAGTGGAGCTGATTGCCACAGGACAGGAATAGTGCAAATAGCTATAAGGATAAAGGAAAAATGTAAAGATGACAACGTCACTATGAGAATTCATCCTGAACCACCCTAGAATTCTTTGGTTTGGAGCAGATAATCAAATCAGCATATTTGTTCAAATTACAGCCCTATGCGAGTAATGAATGCATTAGGTGACTATTCACACTCAGTCAGCAGGCAGCAGTTACATCATTGCTTTGGCCACGTTAAGCAAAACCATGGGAAACGTCTGTACCTAATTGCCAGTAAATATGGTATCTTAAAATAAATGTAAGTGCCCTCACTAGGAATATAATACAAAGAAACTCATAATAGGAGATCCTGAAAGAAGTTTCCAATTATACCAATCCCATGTCTATCAGCAGAAAACAATCTGTCTTGTCTTTTCTTTTTTTTTCTTTCTTTTTTTTTTTTTTAAATATGTTTCCCATCAGGGTTTCTTGTACACGGTGGGAACAGTTCCTCCTAGGACTGAAACAAGTAACACCTCTATATATTTGCCAAAGGAAAAAGCAAAAAAAAATAAAAATAAAAAAATAAAAGGCAGCTCACCTTGTTGCCCTACACCTGGAGGAATTATCTGCATGTGAAGTTCTACCTGCAGAGCCTCATCACAACAGCTTTCAGCAACCAAGATAGGCAATACTGTACTCCACAAATAACTCTAGTGCTTAGCAGCATAATGCAAACTAATGCTGCAAAACAACATGTATTTTGAAATCAGAAATGCCCATCCCTGTTCCTTCTCTCCTGTTGTCCACTTTATTACTTTTTCCCTGGAACAGCAGCTAACAAATATCAGAGTTCTGCATAGAGTTCAAACACAAGGAAATATGCCAATAAAAACCACCAAAAGGGCTGGTGCTCTTCTGTCTGTCCTGAACATGGGCCTGAAGAAAGACCTCTTAACTATTAACATGGTGAATGTGGTTCTTTGACATGATGCAGCTGAACATGGCTGAAATGTTACTTACTCATCTTTACTATTTCACTATTCTTGTCATGACAGCAGTCCAGTTCTTTGCTAGTTTATAAAGCCAAGTGACCCTACAGGCATGATCATTCTGAAACTGTTCCTGTTCCCCATCTGCTTCTGAAAGAACACATCAAAGGTCTCATCACCCACCCCTGCAGGACACCCCCTAGCTAAACAGAGCTTCATTATTTAATGGAAGAGATAAAGGCTGAGGGCCCTAGACTCAGCTAGTTCTTCTGTTTACTGAACTGATCATCATCAGCAGAGTTCTGATCTGTTCTCTAACTTCCATGGGTTTGCCTTTTTTTTAAAAAAAAAAAAAGAAAACACTTTCAACTTTGTACGTAAAACAATTATAGCTAATTTTCACCACACAAACTTAAAAGAACTACAATTACACTTGGAAAAGAGAGGGAAGAAACAGAAGTTGACATGGAGGACAGATGTA